CACGTTTCTTGTCCATCGGAACCGGTAGAACTAGAGAAGTGATGGGACCAATCATTGCGCTTGACATCTGAACTCAACCTGTGCTCAAGCGTGCCTGCGGGTCAGGGTCCTACCATCATTGGCTGCATTGAGTAAGGTTTACATACAAATCCCGAGCATGAGAGCTTTTCTCGGAAGGCTATTCGGCTCCGACCGACAGAGACATGAGATCTTTGACCAAGTACCGTGATGAGAGTGGATTGTGGAGTTTGTACCAGACTTGAACATGGCGTCCTGGGATACTTGCAAGTCGGACCTACACCTTGACCTGGAGAAAAATCTAACTTCCCCATGGGACCAGACTCCGGGGTAGAAAACTAGAAATAGAGCCGCTGCCACCTGGTTGCGATCGATTATCAGTGACTCGGCATCTATCAATTGATTTTTCACCTGTATCCGTGTTTCTTTTATGGAAGCCATGAGTGTCAGAAGAACCTCGGCAACGGCGCACAATGCGGCCATCAAAGGCCGCTCGCAAGCTGTGGCTGCGCAAGTTGCAGAGCAGGAATCCTGGCTGGAGAGAAAGCTCAAGCCCAAGAAGGTCACTGCCAGATATCCATTCAAGGGAGCGCCGTTGCTGTATGCGACATGTGCCTTCGGAAGTTTGGGGGATGCATTGTTCGGATACAACTCTGGTATTGCCACCTACAAGCTGGAGGGAGGGCGTGCTGCTAATACTAATGGCGATAGGTATTATGTCCGGCTTGCTGGTCAATCCCGTCTTTGTGTCTCGCTTCTTCAAAGACTATGGCGGTGCAGACGGTACTACGAGTGCGGTCGATCCATCTATCACGGGCATTTCAGTCGCATGTCTCCAAGCATCAGCAGCCGTGGGTGCACTCATTGCAGGGCGTCTCGGCGACATCATCGGACGAAAGAAGTGCGTCCGCATCGGCGGCTTCATCTACTTCTTCAGTGCATTCATTCAAATATTCGCTCCGGACTTCGCCACGTTTATCGCCGGCCGTACCATCCAGGGTCTGGGAGTCGGATTTCTGTCCATGACCGTGCCTATTATCCAGACGGAGATTGCAGCCCCACATCGCCGTGGTCTTATGGTAGGAATTGAGTATACGTTCCTGATTGCAGGATATATGTTGTCATGCTGGGTGGACTACGGTTTCAATTTCCTTTTACCGAGCCATATGTCGTGGCAGGGCCCGTTCATCGTTCAAATCATTCTTTCTTTTATCTTGTTGGCCATGTCCTTTTTCTTGCCCGAGACACCTCGTTGGCTAGCGAAGAATGGTTTTATGCAAGAGAGTTTGCAGACTGTTGCGGACTTGCATTCTGGAGGTGACACAGAGGCCGAGCATGTGCAGCAGGTCTTCCTCGAGATCCAAGAAGCAGTCATATATGAAACCAATCTAGGAAAGTCCACTTGGAAGGTAGGCCTGGCAATCCTGTTATGGTTCTGGCGAGTTTCAACCTGGCTAACAAGATGAAAAGGAAATGTTCACCCGTTACCGCAAACGAACGATCGTCGGAATCACGGTCCAGATGTTCGCCCAGCTGAACGGAATCAACATCATCTCATTCTACCTTCCGAGCACCCTTGCCTCAGCCGGATTTGACAATCGGAAATCGCTCCTGTACACGGCTGCGAATGCGCTTCCGTATACAGCCGCTACAATCGTAACATGGTGGCTAGCGGACAAATGGGGGCGGAAACCTTTGCTCATTCTAGGAGGTGAGTCTCACAGTGCCTTCTCAAACTCATATGGCCAGCTAACCCTTTTTATCAATCAGGCTTCGCGATGGCAGTCCTGCTCGGTATCGTCTGCGCCTTCACCGAGGCCAACCTGGACATCACAGTCAAAGCCAACGGCCAATATGCCTTCGTCATGCTCTATAACATTGTCTACGGCTTCACCTGGGGCCCGATGCCCTGGCTTCTGCCCGCCGAGATCTTCCCCCTGCGCAGCCGCAGTAAGGGAATGGCGCTGGCTACGACGAGCAACTGGATCTTCAACTTTATCATCGGCATGGTGTCTCCGGATGCTTTTGCGGGTATCCACGGGTACTTCTACCTGGTGATTGCAGGATTCTGTCTCTTCTCCGCCGGTCTGGCTCACTTTTACTATGTGGAGACTGCGAATAATACTCTTGAGGAAATTGCGGTCTTATTCGGGGACCAGGCGTTTGCTGATGGGGACGGAGAGGTCATGGAGGTTGCTGAGGTGCGGACTGACCATGGGAAGGAGCTTGTTTGAGGTAGCCGGACTGTCAAGGATGTTTTGACTATGTTCTCTTTGGTATTTACTGGATGACAACCTGTGTTGACCCATCCTTGTATAGCAGCAATTAGTACCAAGCACTAAAGGTAGGGTACCGAAGTTAATAGTACTTAGCTCTAGGGTCTTACAACGCTACTGACTGTATTGTACATGCTAAACCTGCAGAGTATTCAATATACTAATATGATGTTTGGAAAATAGACTAGCAATATTGCACTGATAGGTTCTATGACTGTAGCGTCATAGCATCTACGCACTTTACTCAGTGATATACCGAAACTAGCAACTGCTAATATATATATATATATAACTTTCGAGGGTAAAACACCACGGCATCGCAAATCATACCTCCCATATCTTACAATAGATAATAATAAAGACAAATCATATCCAGGCTCTACAAATTAATTCTTACGTAGAAAGAATATCTGCTTCTTACGGTCTTACCTGTACGCCACCCAGAAGCAAAACGCTCAGTACAATAGATAGTATCCTCACCAGCAAGTCAACAGACTGACCGTATACCTACAGAATCATGTCAAAGACTACTAAAGCCCTTATTCAAGTAACTGTCCTAAAGCCAGACACGACTGACCAAATCCCGAAGAATGACTGTAGAACGCTGATCAGGGCCCTGCAACAGGGATAACGGTGATGCATGGAATCAGGGCGACGATCGGGAAGATCTAGAGGCAGACTAAATATACTCTATCTGCTATTGTGTTCGTTAATTCCAACAAGAATAAAAGTGTATCGGTTCAGTCATTCCAGCAGATGATTCTATTTGTTTCCGTGGAACAGAATGAGGTACCTTTTCCCTTCCTACGGGAGACAGTGGTACAAAGAGGCATGCATCACTTTCACTCTTACCTGTTGGTATTACTAAATGCCATCAGCCCCACGGATGTCAAACCATATGTGGGATAGAGTACATTTAGTATATTAAAGCTTACATACAGAGTAGTATCAATATTAATTTCCATATAAGTAGGGATGTTAAATCCTTATAGTGGGATATTGGCTACCAACGTACCTTGATATATATATATGCATTTTGAATATGCAGTACTAGTGGCAGGGTACACTGTATCTACTATATATTTCTAGATTCTAACTATACAGGGTACTACCCTAGTGCATAAGGATGGAATATCCATCTTAGTGTTTGATATCCTTACTATATGAATATTCAATATCGGAGTTATTTGGTGTTCCCTCCCTAGCTGCGGCGGGTGTGGGTAAAAAAGAATGTGTCCCCGTAAATAGTTCGCCGTTGGACGGAAAAAGGTACCGACACACGATGTCTCAGACAAAGCACGCAGTCCCAATGTCCATGGCAACTGGCAGGTTCAATTGATTCTTGTACAACTCAGCAAATGAGCTAGAATGCTATTCAACGCACGAAAAAAGGCACCAGGGTGCTCCACCTGTCAAAACAATCCCAGAGTGGCGAGTGCAAACCTGACATGCTGTAGGGGCGCACAATCATTCCACTGCAGCGGGCCGGGAGTCTTAGAAGCAAGGGCAGTGTCAAAGCGCAAGCCTTTACCTTCTTGGCGTAAATGCATTCTTTGCCAGAAGGATTGATGGTAGAGGAGGGTGTGACAAGACGCATTATTTGGCGTATGGGTGCGTTCAATAGAGACTAGCCAACTGTCTCAGTCTGAATATTGTAGTCGTCGGGCTTATTTATTGGTTTCCGTTGATATGATGTTGACATACTGTTATGAGCAGTGATATTTGACCAATTTAGTCCATTTCGCCAATAAACGAGAGACTACAGTCAGTAGCATTGTGGTGAGAATAGTCAACCAGAGAAAGGAGTACTAACATCAGTATAAGCTGTTTAGAGGGTTACTTACCCTTTTGTTATGGTTAAAGCCTGATAACCAAATCTAAACTATGTGCCACTGGGAGTGGAATTAACATCCACCCAACCAGCGGAACGGCTTGTTGACGGTTATGCATGTTGCGGTGCCATCGGAATGCTAAATGGAAACACCTCAAGAGGTCCAATCATTTTTTTTCTGAGAGTCCGCAACAGTCCTATCCCATCCCTCCCAGCAAGCGGTGCCACAGTCATTTCTTTGTGGCAACCACACTGAGATTGTGTACGCCACTATGTATGACTATCACATTGCCAACCTCTGGGATAGAGTCCTGCGAAAAGGTGACAGGAATGTCGGATTGAGAAGCTGCATGGGTACACGGAAGATATCCCCAATAAAATATGTCAACTACTGGCGGCCGGAGCTGCCCCTTGCAGATCTCTAAGCCGTGGCTGCTGAGACGAGGATTGGCCCGCGCCGTTAAGGGGACAAACGGCCTCTGATCCCTCTGATTTGATACTTGGTTCCAGAGTTTGCCTGAGGGACTCGGAGAATGAGATAAACTGTTTTCCCAATTTAGCAATGATCACATATGAGCTATGCGGCTTCACCATGGACCAGATCGGCCCGGCCCACCGATCAGAGCCCTTTGTGTGCATATCTCATGAGCTGTGGGAGAGTACAGAAATACCTTGGCCTGCCGATTCGGAAGCTATGACACCATAGTGCAAAGCGTGCCACTGGAGGAACGAAAGACCAGCCAAACAAATACTGTCAAGCCCCCCAAAAAAGGGCGGGCCGTCCTGCGTTCATATGACCTCCATCTTCCTCGGAGAGTTTCAAACCTAAATGATGCGGCTTCTGCAAAGCCTTATATGCGAGCACCAAGGAAAAGATGCTCACAAGTGCGAACGGGAGCATCGCAGAAAGGATATATGTTCCCGACAACCTGTTGGCGTCGGTCTCTGCGACGGACGACGAGGATCATTGCAACCATCAAAGATTTACCTTAGGCGAGGAGGACCATTCAGAGTGCGAAATTCATGTTCCCAAGAAGAGAGTGTCAACTATAAGCTGGTCGGATCACGGAGCATATCTGCCCACGACACAATATAGTCGTCTAAGCCAGACAGTCGCCATTGAAGAAGGAAGGGAAGACGTATCTCTCTCGGAAAACAGCAAAACGAATGACGGCCCATCCTGCCCCTCCACCGGATCGATCTCTCGAGAAGACCCTGTTTACATTTCATACGATGCAGCGTCGCCGCAGGATCCTCAGGGCTGTCAGTATACTCGAGCGTCTCTTCACCCACGTGCACACAACAGGTTTAGCTATCGGAACTCGCTACCGGTAGGCCAAGCCCTAAGGAGCACGCCGCGCGACATACGCCAAGGCAGCGTCCGAAGTCTGTACAACAGGGCCGCCCTCGTTAAGATCAAGCATCAGCGAAGATACTGGCGTCGGCTGCTGTTCGAGTATGCAGTATACACGGTCCTTGTACTGTTCGTGTACTTTGTTCTGATCGGGGTACCTCTGTGGAAGGGAGCAGTATGGTGGCTTCACTGGGTTATGCAGAAAAAAACAGTCTTTCAGGGCGGCTGGGCGATTGTCATCGGTCTTCTCGTGTTGTAAGTCATCCTGAGACGCGAAGGCGCAATTCAATGAACAATGGCTCACAGTTCGGACAACGGTAGCTATTCGTATACCCCCCTACTTACCACATTCGAGGAAACCTCCCCTGGACCAGAGTTCTTCCAACAGCGCCGGATTACTCCAAACCCCACGGACACTGCGCTCCTGATCCCCTGCTACAGATCGGCTCCCATCATCGGCAGAACGCTCGAGGCCGCGCTCCAAATCTTCCCGGCATCGCATATCTACGTTGTTGCCAACGGGAACTCGTCCCAACCGCTGGACAACACCGAGGAGATCTGCCGCAGCTACGGAGTCAATCACATATGGTCACCTGTGGGGTCAAAGATTATTGCGATATTCATCGGTTGCTACGCTGTCAAGGACTTTCGTAACGTCCTCTTGATCGACGATGATTGTATCCTCCCGCCTAACTTCCCCGTAGTCGTGTCCCGCCTCAACGAAGAAGTCCGCTGCATCGGCTACACGATCAAATCCGTCGGACCCGATGCCTCGCGCGGATCGTATTGTCAGCAAGCACAAGACCTCGAGTACAAACTGTCCGGCCTGACTCGGTGCTTTGCGGGGCGCATCGGCAGCGCTACATTCCCCCACGGCGCCATCTCACTGTGGGAACGGACGTTTCTGAAGCGGACCCTTCACAATCATCCCGGCTTTTCCATTAGCGAGGACTGGTTTTTGGGTGATAGCTGTCGGCGCCTAGGGGGCAGGATCCAGATGTGTAGCGCCGTCTTCGTGGAGACTACGACGCCCGCCTCCGTGCTGTTTGGCGAAATCGACGAAGACCGAGGCGGATTCGGCGAGCCAACGGTCTTCAAGCAGCGCTTCCTACGGTGGAACTTTTTTGTCGCCAATGGCTTGTGGTACAACCTCTCGTACCTCTTCGCATCGTGGAAGCTGGGTCGGTGGGAATTCGCGACAAAGGTCTTGGTCATTCAAGAGGTATGCACTTTCGATTGATCGCGCCGTGCTTGAGTCCATACTGACTAGACAGATATACGAGACGATCCTGTACATCATCACGCCATTTACCCTTCCTATATCGTTCATTGTACGACCCGAATTCTGTATTGTCCTCATAATGTCGACATTAGGGCTCTATTTACTTCACGTCATTATATTCAACGAGGTCCATTTGCGTCTGAAAAATGAGCGGATTTGCTGGAAGGTTGTCATTGGGTATTATGTACGTTGCCGTCGCCTTTGCTCTTATGATTGTGTTCTTTGCATAGTACTAACTGGAGAAGATGCCATACAAGCTCCTGATGACCGTGACCAACGTCGCCAGCTGTTACTGGTCGCTGGTCAAATATGCCCGATATTTTGCCCGACGACACCCGAAGCTTACCGAGGACCACAAGGCGGTTGGAATGGTGTTGAAATTGGAAGAAATGACGGACAGCCCAGGGGGGGTGCCAAAGGGCCTGGGGAGGAGTCTGACCGTGAGAACCGTCGACGTCGATGCTACTGTACCTAATAGAGATCTTTTCATCGCCGAGTTGCCAGCGGAGAGATATCCTTCTGGTTGACCGGCTTGTATGATCAGTCCATATATATATATGTCTAGACACTTTGCCGCCAGGTCTGCACATCTTGACACTGGATAATATGTATATTCTTACAGATGCTTCGTATCTTCCTCTACGTACCAAATATATTCAACTAAGCCATCTCCTTGCCGTCAATGTTACTCACAAAAACCAATATCCTATCGATACCAATTCACGGCTCGATATAAACAATCCCCTCATCGGTCTCTGGAGCTGGTCATTGTAAGTCTTGGCGGAGATAGTCCACAGACACAGGAGGAGTGATTCATAGTGACTGAAAATATAATGCACTTGATTGATGGGTGATAGCGCTATGAGGGAACGGAATCGCACGGCCGGATTCGCCAAGGCCTTTGCTCAGCCTAATCCTGTATTCGCGCAATAAGTTCCAGAACATGGTGCGGCTCTCGCTCATTGGCAGGAGCTGCGTTGGATACCAAGCCAAGGTTGGATCTGCCAGCTAGAAATGGGCCTGCGCCCTGCGGCTCAGCCTCCAACTCTTTGACCAGCAAATGATCCCAGGACCTGGATCCGCCATACAAATTTCGTGTCCGTTTTCTAATTTAATCCGCGAGATGTCGACCTTTCAAACTAGAAGGACAGGCCCACACGTGGGCTGGCGAATCGATCGTTGAGGCACAGAATCTCGGACGGATTGGCGGGATTAATGAACCGTTCGATTATGCTTCAGCCCTGCTGGATGGAGAAGTGCATGCGACAAATTGCCAATGCTCTGCACGGCGAACTTTGGGAGAACTGTCCCAGTACAGTCCTCCCCATGATCAGGGGGAGATATCAGGCCTTCCAGTCTGAGTCGATCACATCGGTGACAACCTTCTGTGATTTGTTATTGGATAGCTTCATAAACTTTCCGAACTGTAAACTCTAGCATTACCCAGAATTATGATGGATTGTGGATAGGCTTGCATAGTGTTTTGGTGCTTTCCTGGTCAACTGGCAGGAATTTGGTCTGAGTAAGAATGCTTGGCAAGGCTTGCACACTGCTCTTACTGGAATGACTATCTTTGTGTGCTCCCTATGCTAGTCATATTTTTAATTGTAATTCAATGCATAACTGAGACAGTTCAGCACAGTCCATTCGTGGTTAAAGTAAAGCTGGCCAGGATTTGAAATAGAATTGTTTCAAGCGTAAGATTCCTCATTTTTGCTAGCTAGGCTGGTGTGGCTGTTTCACTAAAGTATACTTCTAAATGATTGGCCCTAGCTTTTCTGAGAGCCCCTGTTGAACCTCTTTTTTCACATCCCCGCCGACTAGCTATGTGATTACTGATGTGAGATTATTATATTCCTGTGGTACTGGTATAGTCCATTTAAATTGTGATGGGACTTCGCAGGCGCTTCAAGCGACAGGTTATTGTCGCAATTCTCCTGGTCGCCACGGTCATCTGGTTGTGGCATTCTTTCGGAGAGGAGGATGCGGAAGTGGCCAGTGAGACGCCGTTGCTGCTGAAATACATTGATCCGCCCAGTGGTGGGAAAGGAGGTGGTGAGATATAGATTCAGTTCCCCAGGTCTCACGTCCACTAACAATGGTAGTATGGTATATTCCTCCTTCATGGCTGGAAAATGCTACGACTGCGCCAGAAAGCATTGTCGAAGCAGCAAAACTAGCTTCCGACAAAGCGCAAGAGCCTCAAAGACAGATACCCCTCTCTAGCATCCCGTTGATCGTCCATCAAACATGGAAGAATACCGATCAGCAGACATGGCCTCAGCCAATCCGGCAGAGCACGGAGAACTGGCTGCGAGCTGTCGAAGAGGATGAAATGGCCTACTTCCTCTGGGGCGACGACGGGATCGACCAGTTCATTAAGCACTTTGAGCCCGGTCTGGAGAAGCAATTCTACTCGCTTCCTAGTAACGTCGAAAGAACGGATGTTTTTCGAGTTCTGGTTTCGAAGTGGATCGGTGGTGTTGTACGTCCCTTTCCCTTCTGTCAATTTCCTTGCAAATGAAACTGATGTTTATCAGTACGGAGATATGGATACTGAGCCGCTCCACAAGCCCAAGAACTGGATCAACGCGTCAGACATCCAGCCCTGGCGGGACCCGGAAACAGGCGCCCAGTACAACTCCACCAAGCTTGTCCGCGCAATCGTCGGTCTGGAGGCTGATTGTTCTCCTGATAGCGATATGTATTGGCGGATGGGGTATACCTACCCCGTGCAACTAACGCAGTGGGCTTTTGCCTGGGCGCCGGGACATCCAATCCTCCAGATGTTCGTTGATAGATTCTCTGCGGCGATACAGGAGATGCCGAGTGAGACGGCAAAAGACACAGTCGATCCGCTGATCCTGACCGGCCCGGTTGCGTTCACCGAGGCGGTACAGAAGTGGTTGATGGCGACTACAGGGCTACGGTGGAATGCGCTGACGGGACTGCACGATGGGGGGAGGAGTAAGTTTGTGGAGGATGTCTTGGTTCTTCCGATTACGGGGTTCAGCCCCGGGAGAGGCAAATATGGCAATATGGGCTCGAAACCCCTGACAGACCCGTCTGCGCGACTACTCCATCGAGCGCAGGGCTCGTGGAGAAAATTTGACCTTATAGTGGAGTACGGGAAGTTCTGTCGGACGGTGTTTGGTCGGTGCAGGGAGTGGACCAAAGTCCCTCATACATCTTCATTCTAATCGTGTATGATATAATGTTATTGAGAAGGGAGAGGTAGAGCCTCGAACCCATCCTGATCTGGTCTCCTATCTTCCACAACCACCTCCATCCCCCGTCGGCCACAGAACCCATCATTCCCTGCCGTAACCTCGACCATCCGAAACGAACCACCCCTCTGTAAGGCCACATCCGGCACCCAAACCTCCCGTTGCACTTTTGAACCTGGCACCTCCGCCCTCCGCGGATTATACCACGGCAGCCCAACAACCCGGTTCAGCAGATCATGCGCACGCGCATACAGCCGCTCAAACCGCCTCGTAGTCCCCAGCCACGCCAACGTCCTCGGCGTATACGCAACGCGCACATACGGATTCATATACACCCCCGTATCCTCAATCTCGTCTACATCGCCCGGCGCGTCCTGCACATCCGCATGCACAAGACAGCACTCCGACGCGTCCCAGAACACCTCGTCGTCAGCCCGGAACCGCACCGGATGTTCCTTCTGGAAGTACCACGCATCGAACGCGACCATCCCGCCCCAACAACTGCGCACGCGCACTGCGTCCCGGCCCGCTAGCACATCGTTCCGACTCCGTCCATGCCCTGCGGTCGTGAACCAAGGGAAGAACGGGAGGCCGATGCCGTAGCCTGCGAGGTCGCGGGTGGCGTAGCTATCGTAGAATTTAAAGGGGTTGCTGAAGTCCACGGCGCAGGCGGCGCGGTAGGCGGGGGTATTCCGCTGGGGATGCGCGTTCGTGCAGAAGAGGAGCTGGAGGACTTCGACTGGGTTGAAGTAGACGTCGTTGAGGTAGAGGAGTTTATCGTACTTGATGTGGTTCTGCTCGTCGAGGGGACGCAGAGCGCGGTTCCGCAGCGCAGCTAGGTAGTCGATGCGCTTGATGCGTTTTTCTCCGTGGGGTAGCGTGACGCGGGGGAAGGTATCGAAGGTAGTGTGCTCATCGACATCGACATCGACCACAATGGACTTGTTGCTTGGGATCCGCTGCGACAGGGCCTCGAGGGCTTGCTGGCCCTTGTGCCCGCTGTTGTTCTCGTACAGGCTGAGGAAGACGTTGTCTTGCCCGAGCATGTCGATCAGCCGCACGAGCGCATCGCCCCATTGGCCGCCGGCGAGCTCCCCACTGCGATCGTACAAGATGGCGGCGATGAATATCTTTTCATTGTGAGGGTTTCCTCGGCCGGGGTTCTCGGAAGCCGAAATTATTTTTTTGAGGTTCTCGTAGCAAGGTGGGAGGTGCGTGTACGAAGGCCAGAAGATGGGTGTCAGTATGATATTGCACAAAAGGAGGGCTACTGCTATCTGGACAAGTAGGATGAATCGGCGGTAAGGGGCCCGCGGACTCCGGGCAAAGATAGCTCCACCATGGCGAGATGAGCGGGGAAGCACCGAATACCCTGACAACGAGGGGAGACGCAGTAGCCGGGACGCCAGGAGCAGAAATTTGGCGCGCACCCGTGACATGGTGGGTGGTCGAGCACGCAGTATGGGCAATATTTTTAGAGGGAAAAAAAAAAAAAAAAAGGGACTTCTAGTCACATTTGTCAGATTGCCATCTAGGCCCGTGAGTTACTGCAGGATATGAGCAAGACAGTCTGTTATGTGCTCAACGCCATAAAGTAAAAATACGCGGACTAGGCCGACAGGGTGGAAAATTTCTCCAAGAGATTCACGGATAAACTTCACTAGAACTGCGCAAACAACAGGGTCTTGTAGGCAGACGGATTTTGCGCAGCCGGATTGGAGTACGACGAGTCGCTCGGGACACGCTAACTCAAAACTCATCAAGCTTTGCCTCCGGAGCTAATATAGCCGCCAAACGCAAATCCAACTGCTGTGGGTAGCCCCCTGTAATGGTATAACCGTATAACCGTGTATTCGTTGGTATTGTCTTGCAACTTGGAAAGACGGAAGGCTGAACAATTTCGAACCAGGCACTCGTGCTGGCATTGCAACGACACGATCGTCTGGTGCTTTATTTTGGTGAGACTACGACTACGAAGTACAATTAATTGCTCTGGAACCCGATAATCATCGGTTGCAACATGAAGCTCGTCTGGTTAGCCCAGCGCCTCGGCCGGCAAGGCCAACGACGAAAACTAGCCCGAATAGTTTCATCTCTCTGTGTCATAGTAGCCCTCACTGCCCTATGTCTCTACGTTCTTCTTGCATATTACCTGGCAAATGACCCGCGACTGGTGCCCGTGGCGTTTCAGCACGCAAAAAGTATCCTCCTCGTAACTGCCCACCCGGACGACGAGACGCTCTTCTTCAGTCCAAGCATCACATACCGTCGCGATGATCCCCACGTGCAGCGGGCTTTGC